TAAATACTTTTTCCAATAAGAATTATTTACTTAGAAACGTAAGTAAATAATTCTTAATGGAATTTGTAGAAAGAACTAAAAAAAAATTAAATATTGATAAAAAAAGTAGTTACATAAAAATTCAACATTTAATTTTTTGAAAAAAAAAAAATAAGAACAAGATTTAATATTCTTTAATTGCGAAAACAAAGTGGAACGAAAGTAATTGCATGCAAAATTACAAAAAAAATGTTTAATACACGTAACGCGTTTTGCCACGACTTTTCGTGTTTATTTTTATTTTATTTTTTTTCGTTCATTTTCCGACGTGCGTTGCATAAATAAATTTCGCAAACACGTTTCGGCGAAATCATCAAAATATTTTAAACCAAATTCACTTTTGTTATTGTTTGTTTTTGCAAATGTTTGCTTAGCAGTTTTAAATGAATGAAACGTTACGAAAGTTCAATCTAATTTTGTTGAATAAGATTTATAGCAAATTCTTTCAAAAGCGAATCGGACCGGAAATTATAAAATGAAAATATAGCAATTAAAATTATTCTTGTCTGTTTCTATTATTTTTTTTACTTTTCGGTTTCGATTGTGTTCTGAATGTTATTTGTTACACGTGTAAACAGGAACAATTTGTGTAATTATAAGACAAGTTAGATTTAGGTATTTTTTTTAATTATTGTTCAGTAGTTATTTTAAAATTCGCGTTAGAAAAATTTATAACTTTATATAACTTAAAAGGAATTTAGGACTTAGCACAATGCCATGTGGAACTCCTTTATTTTATTGCACTTTATACATATTTTTGGTAATTATATAATAACTTTTTAGCTTTGTTGTTTTTGGTTACATTTGACTTACAAATATTTTTGTTACATGTGTAAACAGTAACAATTTGTGTAATTCAAATAAGAGTTGCACTTATTATCACATTTTTATGTAGAAATGAAATTTCAGCACTTATTACAAAATTTTCGTTGACAAAAAATTATAAGTTTACATAATTTGGTGGAAAATATTAATAGTTGAAAGGAATTTAAGACTTAATACAATACCACGTGGAACTCCTTTATTTTATTGCACTTTATACATACTTTTGGTAATTATATAATAACTTTTTAGCTTCGTTGTTTTCGGTTACATTTGACTTACAAATATTTTTGTTACACGTGTAAACTGTAACAATTTGTGTAATTCGAAGAAAAGTTGCACTTATATCACATTATTTTTTGTAGATATGAAAGTTCAGCACTTATTACAAAATTTTCGATGACAAAAATTTGTATGTTTACATAATTTGGTAGAAAATATTAAGTGGTAGTGCTTCATTTTATTACTATTTATACCAATTTTTGTAAATATGTCACAAAATATTTTTATATAAATCCTTTAGATTCTGCAAATTGTCATATATTCTTTTACTTCTATAATTTTCACAATTTTTTTAATGAATACTAATAAATATTTGTGCTAAAGTATAAATTTCGAAAGGGTTTATTAGAGATTATTAATCCCTTCAGAATTCAGCAATTTTCTTCATATTAAATCCACACTTAACACCCAGACGTTATATGACTATTAAATAACCCTCTCATAACGTCATATTACGCATTCTTCGGATGCCTTTAAGTGGATTATCTATGAGAGCGTCGAAAAAAAGTCCCCTTGTCCGACTTAATGAAAAATTCATGGTTTTTCCTCGGATCGTTAGGTTTTATCATTTAACGAAGGCATATTCAACGGATCCCAGCATAAGGTCCGAAGGGGGAAAGTGAAAATCATTACTATATAAAAACCATATAGTTTCCAGTTTGCCGTCACGCCACGGGGGTGAACAGCTGATACCCTTAATTCCTGATACAATTCTCCAATCCTTATCTGTCCCTTTAAATCGAGTTTACGGTCTGCTTTCACCCAACAAGAACGGTGAAAAAAGGAAGAATGGAAAGTACCTAGAAGGAATTAAAAGGATACATTTAAAGGTCTGCTCGAGTTTAGAAATTTTGAAAATACTCAATAAGTTTATTGAGAATTGAAGTAGAGTTTCGAAGAAGTAAACGAAAGTTTTGATGAATAAAAATTCTTGAAAATCAATGGTTTTATAATTTATGCAATAATTTAAATATACACAAAAAAATATATGGCCAATATTTTCATCAAAAACAAAAAAAGATTCCAAATTCAACATAAAATCGACATAATTGATGTAAAATCAAACTTATTATATTGTTCTAAACATATATTATCTATTTTCATCAAAAATAGCACAAAATTACATTTCTAAATTACAATGTATAAAAAATATAACAAATGTGTTTCATAAAATGAACTTTCAACTAACTTTTTTTTACATTTTCCATAATTGAAGGTTATTTATATAAACTTGAAAATATGTTTGTTATTTTTTGTTTAATTTTATGTAAATAACCAGTTATTATTAATAATTAAAATCATAAAAATAAACTATTTTTAACTTGAACATAAACGAAGTCCAAAGTTACAAATAGATTGGTAATTACTGATGATAATTGTATGAGGTGATGCAATGTGTCGATGTGATACTCATCTAGTTATTATATAGTTTGTTTTTTTTATCGCAGCAAAACAAATTATAAATTTGAATAATTCCCATTGAATTTCCATTGCGTTCGTGGTCAACCGTAGATCCTTCATTTCACCACATTCAGTTTCAATTCAATCGAGATTTTCATATTGATTATCTAACAAAATTCAATCATTGTGTAAAGCAGTGATTCTCAAAATGATCGCGGACTAAAAAGTTTGAGAACCACTGGTGTAAAGTACAATTATTAAATTTTATATATGTAAAGAAAGAAAAAATCTACTATTTTCTATATTAAATTTCATAAATTTCAGTTTTAGTTAAGTTTTTAAATACTTAAGTACTTAAATAATTTAAAATTGTATCATTACTATTGGTAAAAAATGAACCAATTCAGGTAATTTCCTCTACGCACGTTGCTTAACTTTTTTTTTAAATGACTATCTATTTGTATGTTTATCGTTTCTTTCACTTTGATTGTGTAATTAATTAGTAGTTGGAGAGATTAACGTGTTTAAGATACTTAATCATTTTATGACTTTGCATCAGTGTTAACTTGATCGAAATAGAACGGCTTCACGAATCCTTCAAGATTTCCTGTTTTACGCAAGTCTCTGCTTGTTCGCACCCGTCCAGGCACAACAACATCCAGTTCTCTTCTCTTCTGAATGAAAAACAGCTTCGCGAATCCACGGATCTTACTTTCATAATTTATAAATTTAAGTAAAAATATTCGGTTTTAATCAATGAAACTTTTTAAATTTTTTCAACATTTTCACTAATTTTCAGGTATTTTTTTATCCGAAATAATTATTTATTTAATTATCGATTAAGTAATTAGTAAAATTATCTATTTTTGTAAATTAAAATCGAATTTTAACTAAAATAAAACTCGCCACTTTTTCTTATAAGAAACTATTTTTTATTTCACAAATAAAATTTATCAAATTTTTCAAATATATTTTATTGACTTTGGTTTTTATATAGGTTTTAAAACTATTTAGTGCTATTTTCTTGTGAAGTATTTTTCTTCGAAATTTACTTTGTGAAATATTCCATAAACATTTGATTATTAAACTAGAAAAGCGAGATTTTATTACTTTTTCTAAGATTTTCTCTAATTCGATTTTACTTCTAAGGATTGTTGTAAAAATTTGCATAAACGCGCCCAAAAATATATGTTTTCCTTTGTAAAATTCGGTATCAGCTGTCGTAAATCGTGGGCAACCCTTAAAGTAGGTTGAGTATTGTCCCTTAGAGCAGGTAGCAAGTAATACATACTTTAAGTACACTTAAGCTTTGGGAATTTTACGATCTGTTTTTATGTACTCAATTGGGTTTCCATAAACAAGAAACAAATTATCATTTTACAACTTACAATTTTATCACATTATTATTATATGTAGTAAATTTTTCTATTTTGGAAATCTAATAAAAGAAATAAACCAATTTTGTTTTGTATTGAAATAAATGAAGAAAACTTTATTATTTTTTAATACAAATAATTATTTTTCTTACTTCATTAAAAACAACAGAAATTCAAATAAATAATTTAAAAAAATTTTTGGAAAAAGATTTGAAATTCTTTGTTATTAAAAAAATCGTACAAATCAAACAATTTTGCTTTATTAATTTAGTATAGTGAAGGTAATAATGTGAAAACTATAGAATTGAAACGAAATTTCTTAAATTTTGTTGAATTTCTTAAAATTTTACCATCTTTTTATCTTCATTAGTATTGTTATATTACGTTTTGTAAAAAATAAATTTCAATATTTTTTTTTGCTACATTAATTTAGTTTAGTAAAAGTAATAATGTTACACAATTGATGAAATTTATACGGACTTTTATTGATTTTTTTATACACGATGTAAATGAACAATTAAAAATTGAAAAAAAATTAATTATTTTACAATTTTTATTATGTAAAATTTCCAATAATTTAAATACTTATTTTTGTTTTGATTTAGTTTAGTTTACTTAACGTAATATTAATATAATGAAGGTAAACAATACGTAATGATCATTACAGTATGATAAAGTAATGAGACATGAAAAATTAAGATAAAACTTTCCCTTTTTTTTGTATCCAAAAACAAATCTTGTTTTCGTTTTGGGCCCATATTTTTTTTTGTGCAAATATCTGATAGTCTTCAAATTGTGGTCAGAAAAGTATAGATCTTAATCGTTTTCAAGTAATGAGGTTTTGACGATGCTACTTCCCTATGGAAGAAGGACAATACGGTTGTTTCCATCTAGATGCAGGCACAGGATGCGCGCTGCATGTTTACACGTTTCTCATCCACCTATCTTTCTCTTTCTCCTTCAATCTCATCCACTCGTCTCTTTTGCTTCTCCTCTTCTTGGAGCAGAACCCAACAGCTGTTCTTCGTTCACGCAGTGGTGGGGATTCGAAATACATACACACACACACAAAACGCAGCTGAATGGGGGAGTCCTCGAATCCGTAGAATGGTCAGTCCGCACTTCAATACCGTCAGAGCAAGTCGCGTAACATCATCAACAACTACTCTTTCTCTCTAAGTGAACTACTTCTTCTTCATCTCCCGTGGATATTTTGCTGTGCATCGAAGAAAATATTATTTTTTTTATATATATATACATACATACACCAGTGATTTTATTTGGATCATCGAAGATGGTTCGCAGTTTGGCGATGTGGACGAAAACGTTGAGTTTTCCAGCGAGGATCTCACCGAACAAAACCGAAAAGAAGGATGCTTCGACGGTGAAGAGTCCAACTGTGACTCCGACGCCGAGCACCAACTCCCTGGCTCCCAACTGCGTGAAGAACAACAACGACATCAACAGTCTCATGAACGAGACCAACGGAAACCATGAGTTTGGAAGCCATGTAAGTTTCAACAACAAAAACAACAAAACTACAATTCTCCAGCTTTTTGAGCAATGTTACAATATACAATAGTTAATGCAAAACCAAATAACTACAACATCTTCACGTTAAAGTTATTATTATTAAACTTCTTCATTTGTTGCGCAATGTTGTAAATCGATGATACCTTCAAAAAACTGATGAAAAAAACATCTTCATATTGTTATTATGGTACATCAAAAGTACTGTCTTAAAAACAGAGTTAACATCCTCTTCTTCATCTAGTTACACTTATTACTATTGTAGCAATAAATCGATCATATCTGCAAAAAACTGTTGAAAAAAACATCTTCATATTGATATTATGGTACAACAAATCTACAGTCTTCAAAATCGAAGTCTCTTCAATTGGTTACTTCTATTATTATAATTGTAGCATTAAATCTATGATATCTCCAAAATTCTGATTTAAACAACATCTTCATATTGATATTATGGTACAACAAAACTACAGTCTTCAAAACCAAAGTTATCAACCTCGTCTTCATCTGGTTACTCCTATTAGTATTGTAGCAATAAATTGATGATACCTCCAAAATAATGATTGAAAAAAACATCTTCATATTGTTATCATGGTACAACAAAACTACAGTCACCAAAACTGAAATTAACAACCTCTTATTGTAGCAATAAATCAATGATACCTCCAAAATACTGATGAAAAGAAACATCTTCTTATTGTCATTATGATACAACAAAACTATAGTCTTCAAAACCAAAGTTAACAACCTCTTCATCGTCTGGTTTATGCTATTAGTATTGTAGTAATTAATCGATGATACCTCCAAAATACTGATTAAAAAACCATCTTCATATTGTTATTATGATACAACAAAACTACAGTCTTCAAAACCGAAGTTAACAACCTCCTCTTCATCTGGTTACTCCTATTAGTATTGTAGCAATAAATCGATGATACCTCCAAATTACTGATTGAAAAAACCATCTTCATATTATTATTATGGTACAACAAAAAACTAGTCTTCAAAACCAAAGTTAACAACCTCTTATTATAGCAATAAATCAATGGTACCTCCAAAATACTGATGAAAAGAAACATCTTCATATTGTTATTATGATATAACAAAACTACAGTTTTCAAAACCGAAGTTAACAACCTCTTCTTCACCTGGTTACTCCTATTAGTACTGTTGCAATAAATCGATGATACCTCCAAAATACTGATTGAAAAAACCATCTTCATATTGTTATTATGATATAACAAAACTACAGTCACCAAAACCGATGTCAGCAACCTCTTATTGTAGCTATAAATCAACGGAACCTCAAAAATACTGACGAAAAGAAACATCTTCGTATTGTTATTATGATACAACAAAACTACAGTCTTCAAAACCGAAGTTAACAACCTCTTCTTCATCTGGTTACTCCTATTAGTATTGTTGCAATAAATCGATGATACCTCCAAAATACTGATTAAAAAATCATCTTTATATTGTTATTATTGTACAACAAAACTACAGTCTTCAAAACCAAAATAAATCAATGGTACCTCCAAAATACTGATGAAAAAAATCTTCATATTGTTATTAACAAAACTACAATCTTCAAAACCAAAGTTAACAACCTCTTCATCATCTGGTTACACTTCTATTATTATAGTAATGAACAACAACATCTTCATCGTTTTGTTATTGTTGCTGATGTTATGGTATAACAATGCTACTACGAGTGGAATTACAAGTAGGTCTTCTCTCTTCCTTCCTGTTCCGAATTCGGTATTTCGAGGATGGATATTTTTGCACTCGCGTTTCTCAATGCCGTTTGCAAAGCGATACCGAGAAAAACGCGTCTGCTGCTGCCGTTGCTCGCTTGCTTTGCTGTAGCTGCTGCTGCTTGACATCATTCTCTCTCGGCGAAAACCTGTTATTCTTTTTTTTTATTAAATTCTTCAAATATCGACGGTCAACTTGCTCAATTCCAGCATCAACCTTTTATTTTCTTCATCTCCACTATGAAACGTGCTTTCAAATCAGAAAAAAAAAACCGCAACTCTTTATAACAATTAACGAAACTATTTATTCTTCAAATAAGAATTTACACTTAACAAACAAATATTGATCAAACAAAGATAGATATGACATATTAAGAATAATTACAACAATTCATTCTTCAATGAACGTAAATATTTAACAATAAATAGTAGATTTTGTATACATCAATTCAGTACGTTTTTTTATTTGTATTCCACAGAAATTCGATAAAACTTTCGCATTCAGAATTATTACTTTTTTTTTATATAAAATAAAATCAATATTTCAAATCATTTTCATTCATTGATTCTATTGAATTGCAATTATATCTATATCAAAGTTAATTTGATTTTCTTTAATTTTTTTACAACGGTTTTCATAGTAAAATTTTGTTAACAAATTTAGAAAAAATCCTCAGAATGATTTCATATTTTAACAGACAATTTAGTTATGATAACTTCTATTTATCAAATTTTCAAAATTTTATTGAAACTTTTGAAAAAAAAATTGATAAATTTTTATTATTGTGGACAAATTTATAACGAAGAATTAAAATTGGAATAAACTTTTAATAGAAATTGGGTATTTCCATTTTAACGTTAACGGTACAAAATTAATAGTAACATGAATGTTATTCAGGAGCAGGAAAGAAATGGGAATACTTTGTAACCTCGAGCGACGATGAAAATACCGCAATTTCCATTATAATCTTCTATAATAAAGTCGAACAAACGTAAACATATTTTCTCTTTTTATTTTTATTTCATTTATTTTCTTCTCTTCATACAAACACTATACACATGTTCTAATAAAAGCAAACAATCCAATTCGCTTCACAACGGAGAAAGTCATGAAAAAATCGTGCTTTTACAAAAAAAAAACGTGAAGAATTTGCCTCAAGAATTTTGTATTTCTTTATATTATTTTTGTTGACTTAAGACTTAATCTTTAAACAATGCAATGGAAAAAATTTCAGTAATCTTTATCCTATTTTTCTATAAAATGTATGCCTTCGAAGTGTGTCACTAAACTATTTCTCTCTGTCCTTTCTCCGCTCGGATCTAAATCCCAAAGTGTTATTTCCGAACGGTTCTTCAACGTTTTAACGATCCTACTTAACTCTTTATACTTATTCGATGAAATATGGCACAGATTTAGATATATACTAGATTTTTTTTGATTTATGTTTTCAAAAAAAAATCACATTTTTGTCCCCATAATTTTTTTTCTTTTTATTTACAAATTTTTAATTAAATTATATTGTTCTTTAACTATTACTAATTCTTACTTCAAAAATTCACTTAATTTCTTCTCATAAATATTAAAACAAAACTTTTATTCAAATAATTTTTTTGTGTGTATTTGTTTCAAAGTTTTTATTTGCATTATTAAATATGAAATTGGTAATGTAATTAGATGCAAATAAAGTGAAATGAAGTATTCTGACCTAGTCTTACTTTATCGATGCAGAAAAACTGGAACTAATTTTACTGCACTTAATGTTTATTATTTCGAAATTAAATCCAGTTTCCAGGATATGACTGAGATTTAATTATAATTTTTATTACATAAAACTGTAGTAAAACTTCTCAAATGAACGATTTATGGATTTTCAACATACAGTGTAAACATTAACATACTTTTACTACTCAGTAATTTCATAATTTCTTCAGATTTTTGTTAATAACTAATATTTGTTTAAACCTTTAATTTCCTATGCTAATAATGACTTTTTCTTTGCAATAATGCAAGTAAATAAATAATTATAGATGAAATAGTCTTAAATTTTAAATTATTCATTAAATTACTTAAAAAATTGTAAATTTCAAAATCAAATTTATTGTAATTTACTATTTATTACATGAATAATTATAGATTCCATTAACTGAATGTAATTATTGTTTTTTTTTCCTGTTTTGTGTAAGTAAATAATTTCCAAAGGATGTGGACGAGATTGCGGATGTTTGATTGTGAGACATTTTTGTGGTGCAGAACTTTTCCTGCTAAGTCATGAATAATCATGAGAACCAAAATGCGCATAAGTCGACAAAAATCGTAATATATAATAGAAAACACATCGGATCTAATCTAAAGAAAACATTGAATAATAAATTATGCAAACTTGTTCAAACGACAAGAATTTTTATTTGCCAATTAGCAAATTTTTGCTATTCTAAGAAATGTGAACTTTTAAGAAACATTTTTTTTTGTACAATATCTTTTGATCACAATGTATGGAATTCTTAGTTTACCTGGACTATTTTTCTTTTTCATAATAGAAGAAATGACTGAATGGTGAATCTATTTTGACCCATTTGATTTGAATAAAAATGCGTCCTGTTCTATCGTTTTTACCTGAAGAAAAAGGTTCTCAATGCCAAATAGAAAACGTTAGGTTTTTTGGTTTCTTCCTTTGTTAATTCTTTGTGAATTTTTATTGAAAAGAATTATTGTTTACGTGTTTTCTTCGTAGTAAACTTATGTATGAATCAGTTCATGCTCTTAATTGTATTCATCATCTAGTTACATTCGTTTAGCAATTGAAATTCATTAATAAGTGGAACGATTTGAATAAAACGTATGTCCTGTTATTTATTTAGCAATTTCTAATAATTTGCATCGAATTAATTTCAAATTATTTATTCTCAATAATTTTACATAAACGAGAATTTTTAAGAATTTACATGTTATAATTAGAATAATTAAGAGATTTGGCTTAATTTTGAAAATTTTAAACTGTTTTCGTCTATCTATAATGAAGATACAGGTTTTGAAAAAAAATGAGACAAAGATTCGTACCTTGGGGAATTCTTACACATTTATTGTATTTCACATGGAAAAAAATATGGAAATTTTTTATATTAATTAAAATATGTATTATTAAATGAAATTTACGTAATACAAACGAAATTCTAACTATTATTTTTTTAAATTTGAATAATTAAAAAAAACAAAATTAAATTTCAA